GGCCTGACGCTCAGGGTCACCCTGTCTACACCCAGGCTGCAGGACGTGGAGGGGAGACTGTCGGGTTTGGAAGCGCGTCCAGCCCTCGGGCGCCCCTTCTGCTCCATCAGCAGCAGAGTCGGGGCCCCAGGTCAGGAGGGCTGCCATCCCCCCTTCCGTGACTCTGCACAAACTTTGGGGTGCCTGCTCTGGGCCTACTTCCATAGCGCGGACTCAGAAGCCAGATATGAGACTCCACGAGGTGACGAGGCTGAACATGCCCTGCACTTCCGAAGGGCCCTTGAGGACCCTGCTGTTGGGGAAATGAGGAGCCGCGGCGTCTCCTCTGGGCAGGGGCTGAGGCGGCGGGGTGCACGTGGCGGCTCAGAGCTGACGGCAGTGGGAGGGGGGAGGGCAGCTCCCCGGACGGCCCTGAGAGGACACGCTCCAGCGCGGCTGGACCAGAGGAGATCCCGGAGCCTCAGGGCACCCGTGGGGCTCCTTCTCCCCAGGGTGTCTTTGGCGAGCGGCCTGGGCCCTCCAGAGAAGCTGTGTCTCCCTGAGTCCGCGCCGGGCCCACGGCCAGAGAAGAGGCTGCATTAGGAGGTGAGAGGGCACTCGGCCTGCGGCCCGTGGGCTCCGTGGGGGTGACCCGCCCGGCCCTGCAGGGCACTCCAGGTTCCTGCCTATGAGGCGGCCCACTTCTTGGTCCCAGCCCTCGAGAGACAGACGGTTTTGTCTTCTAAGGGTCAGTGTTCCTCCACTGAAGTCTCCCCCAGCCCCACCCTGGGCCCACAGCCTCAGCTGGAAGGCCGCGCCCTGCAGCCCTCCCTCTGCAGCTCTGGCTCTGGATGCAGACCTCCAGGCCTGGAGGCCCCTTGTGTGCCTGCATCTGACTGTTCGCCCTCAGCCCCGGGCGCTCCACCTGCATATGGCTGGTCCTCTCGCGGTGTCTAACCCCAGGGAGGCCGCTCCCGCCCTCAGCTCCTCCCCATCAGCTGTGCTCCCTGTCCAGGGAGGTGGGTCCCCCCTTCCCAAGGCCCCCGTTAGTTAGGCTGTGTGTCCTGGGTGGTGCTGAGCAGTGCTTTATGAACCAGTTTCCTTTTAAGCTTCTCCAGACCCCTCACATGCACTCGGTATTTGTTGTTGCTCAGTTGTGTCCGACTCTCTGCGACTCCATGGACCACAGCACACCAGGCCTCCCTGTCCATCACCAACTCCTGGAGTTTGCCCAAACTCATGTCCATCACGTCGGTGATGCCATCTGACTATCTCATCGTCTGTCGTCCTTCTCCCGCCTTCAATCTTTCCCAGCATCAGGGTCAGTACCAACACCAGCAAATGTCTTGCCTTGTGCTCAGGGGAGGGGCCCTTTTCCAGACCCAGGAGTCAGAGGACGCCCACTCCACAGGTCACTACCCCGACCCACAGGAGTTGCAGCGAGTGTTGGACACGTGTGACCTCCAGCCCCACCCCTCTCAGCCTCAGGACCAGGGTTGGTGGTGTCGGCCTCCCAGTTGGAGCCCTTGTTCTTTCCTTCTCCCTGGCCTGGTTCCTCCTGGTTCAGCAGCGCCTCCAGGGACCGCACAGCCAGGCCCCTAGAGCCTGGTAGGCACAGGTGGCCGGAGCCGGGACACAGCCCAGCCCCCAGCCCCCACCTCCGTCCCCTGCCTCTCTGTGAGTGAGAGCCTCAGGATGTTAGGCTAAAAATTCATCCTTCACCATCAAGAAGCAGTTTCCCAGAAACCCATGAGTTCTTAGCTGTGCCAGTTTTATATACTGGCCCAGAAATACGAAATCTGAGCCAACTTAATCCCTCTGTTCAAGAATATGCAGGTTTTGATGCCAGAGCATCTCACCAGCTGTCTGCAGTCGCTAAGGATGGAGGCGGACTCAGATGGTACCCCAGGTTCAGGAGATGGGCCCACGGCAGGAGGGGGGTGGGTGGGCGTTGATACCCCAGGATCAGGAGACGGGCCCATGGCAGGGGGGTGATACCCCAGGATCAGGAGACGGGCCCATGGCAGGGGGGTGATACCCCAGGATCAGGAGATGGGCCCACTGCAGGGGGGTGGGCGTTGATACCCCAGGTTCAGGAGGCGAGCCCATGGCAGCAGGGGCGGGGCGCTGATAGCCCAGGCTTGGGAGATGGGCCTACGGCGAGGGGGGCTGGTACCCAGGTTCAGGAGATGGGCCCACAGCAGCAGGGCTGACCTATGCTCAGCCGTCGTCCCCGCAGAGGTGGCCTCAGATGGGGCGTGACCAGTGGATGGCCCAGGCCAGGGGGATCAGACTGGAGCGATGGGAAGGATCGAGTTTATATCTGAAGATGTGAGGAGACTTTGGAGAGTCACAGGATCAGATTTTCATCTATAAAATGATCAGAACAGAACTCCTGTCTTAATTAGTTACAATGAGGTCATCAGAAAATTAGCAGGATTCACGGTGCTTCTGGATCAAGTGATGCTCTCTGATGCTCACACCTGGGGGCAAAGTCAAGTCCACAGACCCCGCAGAGTCCCCAGGACGGGCTGGCCGCGGTGCCTGGCTGCTGCTTGAGGGAGGGGTCCCCGCTCAATGCCTGTTTGAAAGATTCAGGCCCCCGTGTCCCCAGCAGGCGACCGCCTGGTAGACCCGGACCCTCGCCCTCTTTTCTGGGCTACAAGGCGGTTAGCCCGTGTTTCCTGGAGTCCAGTGGCTCCGGACAGCTGGGAAGTCCGCTCCTGCCTTGGGTCTGAAGCAGGCCGGCCGGGAGGCCCTCTCCTGTCCTCCAGCCCTGCCCTGCTGCCGGACAGGCCTGCTTGGAGATGCCCGGCCCTGGACCCAGCCTTGCAGGATCTCATCCAGTCTCCAGCTGCATGGGCCCTGTTTGGGGTCAGGACGTCTCCTCGGTGGCCTGTGGCAACAGCCTTCTGCTCCGCCCTCCAGGGTCAAGGAGCCTGCGGTGTGTTCCTGCCCCACCTGGGGCTGTGTCTGCTGCTGAGTGCCCTTCCTGATGGCCCGTCCCCTCCGTCCCACCTCAGGGCATCCTCCTCCCTCTGACTGTCTGGATCGGTGATGGGCAAGTGCAAAAAGCCAGCACCCACTCTTGCTTTAACTTCATCACCAATTAAGTAAAACTCTTTGGCATCCTCAAAGGAAAAATTTTATTATACATTCTTAAAAATGTATTTAGAAACATCAGCATGATCATTATAATGCATTATTCAGTTAGTTAAATGTACTTTTAAAAAACTATGAAATACATCTTCATTGTAAGGGCATCTGTTGTTTCTTGCAAACGATTAGCTGTCACTGAATCATCAATTTTTTATTGTATTGTGTGTCTCAGGCTATTTGTTCTAATTAAGGGCCAGGCATGGAGTAAAGCAAACTAGCCTCGTTCTGTGGAAACTGGGTTTTCAGTGCTGCCACACATGCTGGACGAGCAGCCCCCAGGAGGGACCCGTCTCAGGGGGTGGGCAGAGAGATGGCGGTCCGAGGCCTCGCAGAGCAAGTCCAGCCCGAGATGCCCTCCTGCCGGGAGCAGCTCTGACCCTCAGAGGACAGTGTGCAGAGGGGCCCTGGCAGCCCACTGTCCCATGTAGGCCCCCGGGGGATGCAGGGACAGGGTGCCGGGCCTCTGGACACTGGGGGGAGGGAGGCTGGGGCTGTGGGAGACCAGGGTGGGGAGAGGCAGGGGCTCCTCCCTGAGGCCTGATCTCAGGGACAGGACCCTGCCCGATCCTGTGCCCCCACCCTTCTTGTTTGTAGACAAGCTTAAGCCTCTGAGGCTTTGTCCATGTTCCAAAGAGCAGATTGAAACAGAGGTGAGAAAATTCCAAAAGAAAGCAAGACAATTGAGCAAGACAAAATAATAATAGTTAAGCCATTAAATAAAGTCAAGGACTTTTACTTCATCCTCAAGGGCTACGGGTAATATTGTGAGCCGCAGACACTCATACCCCCTGCAGCAGGAAGAAGTTAACGTGTGCTGCCCACCACAGACCTCGAGCGGCTGGAACTCACCCACCAACACTGAAGATCAACAAGACATCACCCTGTTACCTCATCATCAGAAGTCCACAACCGTCGTCCCCCTCAATGCAGCTTTAAATACCCTGGTCCAAAAGCCGTGGGCAGTTCGGGTCTTTCGAGCATGAGCTGCCCATTCTCCTTGCTGGGCCCACGCTGGGCGCCAGGCATCAGGACCACACTCCTGCCCCCGCCGGTCAGTAGCCAGGCTTTACCATGTGCGTGTGAGCGGACCTGCTGTGGTAATGAGGAGCGGGTGGGGCTGAGAGACAGTGAGGAAGACGGGTGGGCTTCGGGATACAAGTGGTGATGGCCTCTCACTCACGTGTATGCAGTGATAAATAGGAAAATACTGTCTCGGCGTGGAAGCCACCAAGTGCCGGTCCACAGTTGAACAGATAAAGAAGTGGTACATACATACGATGAAATACTACTCAGCCATGAAAAAGAATGAAATAGTGCCATTTGCAGCACACGATGGATGTAGAGATTATCACACGGAGTGAAGTAAGAGGGAGAAAGAGAGTTATCATATGATGTTGCTTACATGTGGAATCACCATGATACAAACAAACTCATTCACAAAACAGAAACAGACTCACAGACAGAACCTGAACTAATGTTGCCAAAAGGGAAAGGAGGGGGATGGATTAGGAGTTTGGAATTGACATGCACACGCTCCCCTAAGTAAAGTAGATGAGTGGCAAGGGTACAGCACAGGAACCACACCCAATTCCTTGCAGTAACCTGGAAGAGTCTGAAGACGAACACACAGTCAACATGAGTGCACATCCAAATCGTCTGCTGTACACCCGAAACTGGCACAACATTGTAAATCAACTTCATTTGAAAAGAAACAAACAAAAAAAAGATTCCCACACTCAGCAAGCACGTCTTGGCCGACGTTCACGCGGCATCTGAGGCCCTGCAGGAAGCACACAGCAGGCAGACGGCCGACGCATGCCTGGGACCCTGCAGCTGCTCCTCCCCACTGCTGGCCTCCCAAGCCGGGGCGCACGCTGTCCCCAAGGGAGGCCAAACAAGTTGCAGGATCTGGCTGGTGTGACCAGCGGGTGCTGGGGCACAATCGTGAAGCCTTTGAGAGGAGCCTGGAGCTCGGGGATGGTGACGGTGAGCGGCAGGTGTGGGAGGCCTTGCAGCAGCAGCTCCTCCAGTCCCTCCTGGCCTTCTCTGCTGTGAACAGCATCTCACGGGCTGGGGGCCCTGAGCACCGGGGCTCACCCGGGATGGGGAGCAGGGACGCTGGGTCCCTGTGCCTCCCAGCGGCGCGGCCGAGTGACTTCTGGCTGCGCTGAGGCTCCCAGACTTGGAGGCCTTGCTGTTTGGCACCAGTGCGCCCAGGACCCCAGAACTGCATTGCCCCCGCCCAATTGGTACGATCCACCCCCAGGCGTGTCCCAGACGCTGGCAGCAACCAGGAGCAGCCTCTGTTTACAGACCTGGCAGCGGATGAAGCTTAAGGGGCAAAGAGCAAAGTTTTAATTTCAGCAAGATAATATTTGAGTTAGATAATAAAACTGCCCCTTAACTAAGGGCTGAACAGGTCCCAGGGAAATCAACCCTGAATATTCATTGGAAGGACTGATGCTAAAGCTGAAACTCCAATACTTTGGCCACCTAATGCGAAGAGCTGCCTCATTGGAAAAGCCTGTGATGCTGGGAAAGATTGAAGGTGGGAGGAGAAGGGGACGACAGAGGATGAGATGGTTGGATGGCAGCACCAACTCAACAGACATGAGTTTGAGTAAGCTCCGGGAGTTGGTGATGGGACAGGGAGGCCTGGTGCGCTGTAGTCCATGGGGTTGCAAAGAGTCAGACACAACTGAGTGATTGAACGACAACAGATTCGGGGGCAGGGTGCGTTTCCTCCTTCCTAGAACACCCACGGGAGGTGAGGACTTTCCTCTAAGCTGGGGCAGGACGGCTGGCCGCCCACTGCTCGTGGGTGTGAGAGCCACGGGGCAGGGGAGCCGGAGGCACGGGTGACAGGGCAGCTCCCGGCTTCTCGGGGTGAGAAAGACCAGCAGTAACCAGCAGCGGGCTCAGCTAGGGAGGAAGTGCGGGCTGACGCAGGGCTGTGCCCGAGAGGACCCTGCCCTGTCGCTGTGTGGGTGCAGAGGGCTCCCCGTGGGCCCCCTTCTGCTGCCCTGTCGGCCCCTCGGGGCTGAGGCTTGGGATGGAGCTAGTGAGTGACGTTCCCGGGTCATGATGGACAGACGAAGCTTGGGGAGCAGGGGGCTGGTCTTGCTCCTCTCGGTGCTGGGGGAGGAGCTGTAGGTCACCCCTCAGGTGAAGGGGGAGACCGGGGTCCAGGGGATGTCTGTTCGCCATGCCCTGCATCCAAGGGGCAGCCCTGACCTGCAGGAGGGCGGCTGGAGGAGGTGCTGGCGGGGGGCGGAAGGCTGGTCGGTGGGCAGAAACAGGCCGTGGACACTTGTGTGGAGTCCATGCTTCTTTCCAGAGAGGCTCAGTCAACTGACGGTCACATAGTTCGCTGAAGCAATTCCAGGAGAGCGTGGAAGATGAATTGAAGGAGATATTGGAGGTGACATTCGTGAATTAAAGGGATAGGAGTTACCCCAAGGGTCTGTGAGATATCTTATCATCCCAAGACTCTGCCTGTTTGATCTGTATCTGAAATGACACAGGAGATGCACACTTGGGTGTCCCAGGCTCAGGCCTGCTCAAACGCTGGGCGTGAGCGAGGAGAGGTCTGCGCTGTCAAAGCAGGCTTGGGGCCCCCGCATGGGGTGTGCAGAGCCCGGCTCAGCACGCACGGCCCTGCCCACCCTCTGCGGCTGGGGGCCTGGTTCCCTCCAGAGCCGTGCCCCGAGGGGGACCCGGCTGCTGGGCACGGGGGCTTGCACAGGCCACTGAGCTCTGCTCCAGGACCCCCAGTCCCGTTTACCTGCATCAGCGAGAAGCGCATGCCCCATTCAGAGCAGGCTAGGCCTGAACCTGATTTGCAAAGTCAGCCTCTGTTGTTCACAACGGGCCACCTCTCTTCTCAGTAACATACCCTCTCTTGGGTTCATGTCACAGTTTTTCCAAGGATGAGACGCAGAGTGGAGGATGGGCAGAGGAAAATATCTCATTTTTGGTTTAAAACTGTGGGGCAGAAAGCCATTTTCACCTAGGCTGGTGACGGCGGAGAGGGTGTCAAGAGTTAACAGGGCAGATGAGAAGGCGGAGGACTAGGTTCCGGGAGGCTGTGAGCCCACAGCTTCAGGCTTCACTGGAAATACCCGGAAGCAGGTAGGGACGGAGGCTCCTGGGTGTCAGCGTTCCCATGCGGGCTCAGCACAAACTTCCAGGAGCGCCTTCCTCTGACAATGGGGTCACCCCCTCCCTCCACTGCTCTGCCCCCCACCAGGCCTCACGCGGTCCCCTCCCCCCCACATGCTCTGCCCCCTGGGGCCTCACAGGGTCCCTTCCCCCGACAGGCTCTGCCCCCCGGGGCCTCACGGGGTCTTCTCCCCCCAACATGCTCTGCCCCCCGGGGCCTCACAGGGTCCCTTCCCCCCTACATGCTCTGCCCCCTGGGGCCTCACAGGGTCCCTTCCCCCCACATGCTCTGCCCCCCGGGGCCTCACGGGGTCTTCTCCCCCCAACATGCTCTGCCCCCCGGGGCCTCACGGGGTCCCTTCCCCCAACATGCTCTGCCCCCCGGGACCACACAGGGTCCCCTCCCCGCCCCTGCTCTGACCCCCGGGGCCTCACCGGTCGGCTCTTAGAGGTCAGTAATCCAGCCTGTCTGTTCCTTCTCTCATGGATCATGTTCTGGGTGCTGTATCTGATTCTTCATTACCAAATCCGAAGTCAGATAGGTTTCCATTCTACTTTCTTCTGGAAGTTTTACAGTTTTGCATTTTATGTTGAGTTCTATGACATGTTCTGAGTTACCTTTATGTAGAACCTAAGATCTGTGTCTAGGCTTAACTTTTCATTTAAAATATGTACTGTGGTATAAAACATTTAGCAGAAACAAACCATTTACCCTTCTAAGTGCACGGTTCAGTAGGTACGTTCTTTTGCCTACGTGTGTGCAGCTCTTCCAGGACCATGTGTTGAGAACACTGTCTTTTGTCTCCTGTGTGCCTTTCTCACATTTCAGGATAATAATCATCCTTTATCAGTATCCTGCGGGGCAAACGCAATCTCAGTGGGAGTGTCCAGAGGCCCCCTGCCTGTAACATCCGACTTCACAGAATTGCTGCCAGGGTTATGGTAAATAAATGCAGTGTTCAGCACGGTTGCTGGGCAGTGTCCGTCTTCACTTCCTTTCCTTACAATATCACGGTCTACATTTTTTGGGGGCCCACATGTGCACCATGCCCTCTACCTGAAACATGACTCCCCTGATGAACCTGAATCAAGAAAAATGCTCTCCTATGCTGACAAAGGTCCGTCTAGTCAAAGCTGTGGTTTTTCTAATAGTCGTGTATGGATGAGAGTTGGGCCATAGAGAAAGCTGAGCGCCAAAGAATTGTTGCTTTTGAACTGTGGTGTTGGAGAAGATTCTTGAGAGTCCCTTGGTCTGCGAGGAGATATGAAGAAGGAATTCATAGGGTCAGGACTCCATCTCAGGCCTGTCCGTGCTGATCGTGCTCGGCCGCCTCTCCAGTGGACTCTGAGCTCTCTGCTTAGGGCCTGTGGGAACGACAATGGAAGGATAAGGCCCCCTCCGGACAGGGGAACCTTGAAGATCGTATCCAAGTTACTCATCGCCTAAGAGAAAACATACTCTAATCATCCCTGCCTCCGGACAGTATCGGAATGTAACCACAGGCTTATCGGTTATTAACTGGTTGGAATGTAACTGCGGGCTTATTGATTATTAACCGTTTGATCACATAACACATGAATGATGGGGTTATTGTGATTGTATTTACCCTTCCTTTGTAAGTCTCAAGGAATTTGAGACACATACACATGAGGTATAAAAGGTTTTCACAAATGCTGGTCGGGGTCCCTGACTAAGAGGAGACTCTGCGTTGGGCCCGCCGGTGTAATAAAGTGCACTCCACTATCTGCATTGTCCTTCTAAGTGAGTTTGTTTCCTGGAAAGCTTGGCTATAACAGATACAACCAGTCCATCCTAAAGGTTGTGAGGCAAGCAGAAGTAACGCCATGGCAGGCAGCTTAGATTAGGAGTAGGCCTTCCTACTTCTGGGTGGTAAGATTATCAGGCCACCTGGATACAACCAATTAGCTTTCACTTAACACTGACCACTGTTTGCCAATTAGGAAATTAGGAACGGGGCAGAAATCCCCAGGAAAGTCCCGCGTGTGCAAAAGTTTTGACCAATGAAATTGCTTTGCAAACTTGTAACCAATCCACTTAAACCAACTACCAATGGCGTGTGCTCACCCTATAAATTTGTGTAACACCTCGGGCTCGGGGCTCTCTGACCCCGCACCACTGCGTTGGGTGCGGCAGGAGCCCTGGCTCGAGTCAGTAATAAACTTCCCTTTTTGCGAGTCGCACTGTCTTGGAGGCCTTCTCTCTTCCCGCTCGGGGATTCGGACATCGGGCATAACAGATCAATCCTGAATGTTCATTGGAAGGACTGATGCTGAAGCTGAAGCTCCAATACTTGGGCCACCTGATGCAAAGAGCTGACATTTGAAAAGACCCTGATGCTGGGAAAGATTGAAGACAGGAGAAGGGGACGGCAGAGGATGAGATAGTTGGATGGATTCACTGACTCAATGGACATGAGTTTGAGCAAGCTCTGGGAGTTGGTGATGGACAGGGAAGCCTGGTGTGCTGCAATCCATGGGGTGGCAAAGAGTTGGACATGACTAAGCAACTGAACTGAACTGAGGCCAAGCCAGATAGGGGAACACATCCAGTGGTTTGGGTGAAATCTGCTTCCTCGTCTCCCCACACAAGGTTTCAGGTGGAGGTGAACCTCGTGTCTCCAGGAAGGTCTGTTCTCTCATTGCAGAGTCTCTGCTTCCTTTTGGTCCTGTCTCCTCATCCCTCCTTGAGTTTATCCACGACTCCAGCCATTGTTCTTCCGGAAACCGTGCTTACAGACATTACACAAGGCACTGATGTGCATAGAGACCGTCCAGGCCCCTGCAAAGCCAAGAAATGCATATTGCTAAACATTTACAGTAACATCGACTGTGACCATGAAAACACTTTTACAGCAGATGAAACACACTGAGTGCAGCAGAAGCTGTCGCAAGCCTGGAGTTTGGTCAGCCGATGCAGCCCGCCCGTCTTCTGCAGGGTTGGGGGCTTTTCTTGAGTTTGGGAGGATTTCCTGCCTGAGACAGAGATCAGATTTAGGGAGGGATCTAAAGGAGGGAACAGCCAAGTCAGAGGAGGAAGTGGTGGGAAAACAGGACAGGAAATCCGCTCTCAGATCTCTGAGAAACTTGCTGTCAAAGAGGAGAAGGTTGCTGTGAAGAGGACAGTGGAAGGGGTCTTATCACGTGGCAATGACAGGTCTGAATATAACGGCCTCAGACTTGGACACGGGAGAAGAGGGCGACCGACCCTGTCAATAGAGCCCTGATTGCCTTCCTTCTCCAGTCAGTTCATCGGTCCCCCTCCTGCCACACGAGTCCCGGCCTCTGCTCCGTGTCTGTCTCGCTGGCCCCAGCTCCCAGTCCCCCTTGACCAGTGTGGAGAACCCATCCACCTGATCCCATCTCCAGGCTCCTTGTGAGCATGTTGCTTAGGAAAACCTCCGCCAACAAATCGCACTCTTAACTTCCCTTTTGATGCTCTTCATGGCAAAGAGCCAGGGCCATCTGGGCACTTACGAGGAAGAAAAATAAACGACCTCTGAAAGGGGCAAGGCCATCAGCATCATTTACAGTCTCCGCATTGTGGGTTGACAAGGGATCACAGGGCCTGGTCCTGAGAAGCGACTCTAGAAAAGGAGACAAAGGAATGAGTTCTCTCGGAAACATGTCCTCAGAGCATCGGATGGGTAAGCAGGCGTATGCCGAGTGGAGATTCTTCTGATCAGGCCTGGCCGTGGTGTCGTGGAGCTCACGCCCCCAGCATGCTTCCTGTCTTAGTCACCATTTGTCAGAGGGCCTGGCGCTTTCGGGGTTAAATGCTGTCGTGCTGGGGGTGGCTTTGGGGTCAGCTGAAAACCCGTGTGTGCTACAGAGACCGAGTGAGAACACCAGTCCGGGGACGCTGCGCGCTCCCACAGACCCCGGCGCAAGGCTGCCGGCCCGGCTCCCACGGGCAGCCCTTCTGCCTCAGGGGGCTGTGCCCTTGTCTGCACACGGAGCCAGGGTGCTGTGGTTTCCTGGTCAAATTTCTCTGAATAGAAGTAATGCAGCACAATAGGAACCACACCATCTCAGGAGACAACTGACCTGGATTCCAGCCCCATTTTTGTTATAAATTTCCAAGTATTTTCCCTCTGTGCCTTGGAATAAAATGGAAACAATTAAATCTAATTTATCCCACGTAGTTTTGTGATGCACTAGAAAATAGTTTAGGAGGTTCAAAAAAAAAAGTTTTTGATTGGATTAATACTAATAATGAACACAGACCATTACCAGTATTTGCAAAGTATTTTCAGGTTAACATTACTCTCAAAATGTTTGTAACCTCATTTGAGCCTCATAAAAGCCATTGTCAAGAGGACAGAATGAAAGTTATCTTAGAATAAAAGTTGCACTTGTCACCAGGTTTCTCCAGCTCTCAAATTATGACAACGATCCTGGGAGACATTCGCGTCGTGGAAAGCTGTTTTTCACGTGCATGCTTTTCTCAGAGCAGCCTACACCTCCCATTCACCAGAGAGTCACTTAGGTTCTTTGGAAAGATGGCCCTGTATGGGTCACTGCCAACTCAGCCCTGACACTGGCCCGTCCTCCTTCTGGTGTGAGTTTTCTCAGCCCCAGGAACCAATCCTAAATACTGTCACCCAGACCCAAGAATCCGGGTTCCGCTCCAGCAGGCAGGGCACCAGGGACGGCGACTAAGCCCTGTGCCCCATCCACGCCCCCAGCCATGTCGCTGGCTGCGACAGGGAGGGCGTTTCCTTAGGACAGACGCTGCAGAGCCCGAGACCGCAGTCAGTGGGTGAGGAGGGACGCCCCTGGAACCGGAGCTCTCCCCAGCCTTCCTCCACCCCCTTCCACGGCTTGTCCTTTCCTTCCTCTTCTGAGGTTTTCTGGAGCGGGGCTCACAGAGCCTGACCCATGAAAACTGCTGCAGGCCAAGAGGGCTGTTTCAGACGCAGAACCGGGTTCCTGGGCCCTCCCGGAGCACTGGCCCAGGGCAGAGTGAGGATGTGGCTGGAGGGCCGCAGTCGTCCCATGGATGTGCGGCCGCCCCTGTTCACTTCTGTCTCCCGGCCCCAGACTGGGTTGGAGGCCCACAGACACGCGGCCGCCCCTGTTCACTTCTGTCTCCTGGCCCCAGACGGGGTTGGAGGCCCACGGACATGCGGCTGCCCCTGTTCACTTCTGTCTCCTGGCCCCAGACAGGGCTGGAGGCCCACAGACACGCGGCCGCCCCTGTTCACTTCTGTCTCCTGGCCCCAGACGGGGCTGGAGGCCCACGGACACGCGGCCGCCCCCGTTCACTTCTGTCTCCTGGCCCCAAACAGCATCAGAGGCTCACACAGCAGCCCTGCCACCCTGTTCCACACAGTCAAGAGTTTGAAAAGAGTCAGTAATGAGAATGTTTTGGATAAATGAGTCCCCTGTGAAACATATTATCCACAAACCAAATGAAAACTAAAATGGGCAAAAGGAGTTTCCCTGTTCCTCATAAATATATCTACAAGGAATAAAAATCTACAGAAGCAGCAGGAGACAGAGGATCCCTGATGTCACCGCAAAGTTCTGAGAGGAAGAATTTGTCACAGATTCCAGGATCATTAAATACAAAGAGCGCACCTCAAAGAAAAGCTTTGATTACAGGTCTCAGAGAAAGGTGTTCATCCTGGAAGGAGTTGCTTATTGTAAAACAAGGCTCTGAGGCAGCTCTATCCCAATAAACAAAATAAAATCAACTGAGGGACTTCCCTGGTGGTCCAGAGGTTAAGACTTCCCTTCCAATGCAGGGGTGTGAGTTCGATCCCTGGTCTGGGAGCTAAGACCTCATATGCTTTTTGGCCAAAAACAAAACATAAAGAAGTCTGGGGCTTTCTCTGTCCAACGTGCTTCTACTGGGGGTACATGGGCATCTCTTTTATTACAAAGTCATGACGCTGCCTGGGACAGAAACCTAATTCGAAACTACTGATTTCCACCCTGATCTGAGGCTCTCCTCGGTTCCTCTGTGTTTCCTCCACCCTCTCTCCAGCTGCCCTCCATGCCCGCCCACCCTGGGCACCCCTTGCTCCCCCCGCCCTCCGCCCTCACCCTCGAGCGTCCCTCCTCGGCCGATGACAGCTGGTCACAGTGCTTCTGCTGATGTTTTTCTCCTGCTGTGACTCCGTGTTGCTGTCTTGTGAGCAGGGCTACTGGGGTTTGAAATACTTCAAGGGGAAGGAAAGGTTAGAAATGAAATTCAAGAGGTGGATTCCTTCGAGACCTTCTGGGATTCTCTGTGCTGGCAGACTCATTATTTTGTGAGATGACTGCGGATTGTGACTGGCCGGGGAGAAGGGGTGATTTAGACCATGCCCACGGCTGTCGGCACACAATATCTCAGGCTGAACCGTAAAATGAACCCGTGCAGCTGGTGATCATCCAGCTTGCCAGTTCATCTTGCTCAGAAAAGACTTAGGGCCAGTGTTAGATAATGTTGCCCATGAACACATGCTGTTTATTTATTAAGCTCATAACTTATCTTAACTGCTAGTTAGATAAATTTGGGAGATTACACATGCCCATAAAACTACTGCAAAAACATGACATGGAATATTTCCATCACCCCAGAAAGCTTGCTTGGGCTGTTTAAGATAACACTTCCTGCTTACACCAAGAAATCAATATGCTGAGTTTTATAGGCAAAGCTTATATTCGATGGAGCTTCCCTGATAGCTCAGTTGTTAAAGAATCCACCTGCAATGCAGGAGACCCTGGTTTGATTCTGGGTCAGGAAGATCTGCTGGAGAGGGGATAGGCTACCCACTCCGGTGTTCTTGGGCTTCCCTTGTGGCTCAGCTGGTAAAGAATCTGCAATGTGGGAGACCTGGGTTTGATTTCTGGGTCAGGAAGGTCCCCTGGAGAAGGGAATGGCTACCTACTCCAGTATTCTGGCCCAGAGAATCCCATGGACTGAGCGACTTTCACTCACTCACTTATATTTGATTGTCCCTCAGCTTCACGTCAGTGAGATCATACAGAATGTGTGCTTTGCACCTGGCTTATTCCACTCAGAATAATGTTTGTTCCATTTATGGATGTGTTATGTTCGATTTCCAAGCAGCATTGCAGTCTGGAATATTCCATAATTTGGTATTCATTCTTCTGTTGATGAATATTTGAGTTGTTTTCAGTTTCTAGCTGTTGTAAAAAAGCTAGTTAAATACTCTTGTACAATTGATTTTGTGAACATATATTCCAAGCTTCCTTTGCTAAATAACTAGCAGTGGAATTGTTTGGTCAGATGTGTATTTGACATTATTTTAAAAAAGCTATCAAAGAGTTTGTCAAAGTGAGTTTCATTTTATACTCCCTCAGCTATGTCTGAGTTAATCTGTGGCTTTGACAGTGTTTGGTATGAGAATCATCAGAAGTTTTTTGTTTTGGTGATTCTAGTGGGTTGGAGATGGTATCTCACTGTGGTTTTAAATTGCATCACCCTGATCAATAATGATGTTGAGCATGATTTCATATGCTTATTGGTATCCAAATGTCTTTCTTCATGAAATGCTTATTTGCATTTTTCAATGGGTTTTTAATGTATTAATTGTTGAATTGTACACAACAACTCTCCCTTTTTGTATCTGCATATCTACATCTGCATCTATCTCTAACTCTATGTAATATCTTCCAAATTGTCACATGTCTATTCATTTTTAATAATATTTTTTGATAAGTAGATAAACTTAATAAAAATGAAAAATGATGAAAGACTCTGTCAGGGCAACAAAGGTGCAGCATTTGAGGATTTTTCTCAAAATTTTAAAAACAAATGCAATTCAGTTTGCTGTTTATATGAGTTGAGATTGTAATAGCCTAGCTGATGGACAGAAATATGCATGGAAAAGAAGTTAGAGGTATTAGGGCAAGGGGCAGCTTTGAAATTTGAGTTGATGATTGTGAAGAGAGCATGGAGGCAGTGGGGCAGAAAGGCACTGAAGGCCACTCATCCCCTGAGGATGACAGTGATGATGGTGATGGTGATGGTGATGATGGTGATGGTGATATGATGATGATGTGATGATGATGGTGATGGTAATGATGGTGATGGCGATGGTGATGGTGATGATGGTGATGGTGATGTTGATGATGGTGGTGATGATGATGGTGATATGATGATGATGTGATGGTGATGGTGATGGTAATGATGGTGATGGTGATAGTGATGGTGGTGATGATGATGGATATAGTGATGGTGGTGATGATGATGGATATAGTGATGGTGGTGATGATGATGGATATAGTGATGGTGGTGATGATGATGGATATAGTGATGGTGGTGATGATGATGGATATACTGATGGTGGTGATGATGATGGATATAGTGATGGTGGTGATGATGATGGATATACTGATGGTGGTGATGATGATGGATATACTGATGGTGGTGATGATGATGGATATAGTGATGGTGGTGATGATGATGGATATAGTGATGGTGGTGATGATGATGGATATAGTGATGGTGGTGATGATGATGGATATAGTGATGGTGGTGATGATGATGGATATAGTGATGGTGGTGATGATGATGGATATAGTGATGGTGGTGATGATGATGGATATAGTGATGGTGGTGATGATGATGGATATAGTGATGGTGGTGATGATGATGGATATAGTGATGGTGGTGATGATGATGGATATAGTGATGGTGGTGATGATGATGGATATAGTGATGGTGGTGATGATGATGGATATAGTGATGGTGGTGATGATGATGGATATAGTGATGGTGGTGATGATGATGGATATAGTGATGGTGGTGATGATGATGGATATAGTGATGGTGGTGATGATGATGGATATAGTGATGGTGGTGATGATGATGGATATAGTGATGGTGGTGATGATGATGGTGCTGATGATGGTGATTATGGTGATGATGATGACTCCCCTTAGAGTCCGACTGGTTGTCTGGGTTCAGGAGGGTTTAAGTGTGTTGGTTGTTCACCCTCATGATCTTGGGGTCAACTGGGAGCTGCAGCCACTGCCCAACACTACAGGGGAGGATTGGATCTCATATCACCAACCCAGGAAAAGGTCAAAATTCAAAATTCCAAGTACAGACTCTACAAAAGTTGTATTGGTTTTGCACCATTGTAAAGTAGAAAAATTGTAAGTCAGGGACCATCTGTACTAAGGGCCAAAATCCCGCATCGGTTCACATAAATAAGCAATAGGAGTCTTGCACATTTTTCTTGGAGAGTCCCCAGCAACCATTTTCCCTTCTCTGTTTTGCAAAATACAGTAATAAAGCACTTAGGGTTTTGTGGCAAAGGAAACTTTTGGATGTGTTAATTATGCAATAATAAATGAGACCCATTTTTGCATCCCATTAAGTATTCTGCAGCAGGGCAGTTTTAGTAGAACCAGAAATGCAATCTGGATATTTGGGAAGTGAGAGAAAAGTCAATAAAAGAGGGCTGGAGGAGGAGCCAAAGGCTGAATTAATTAGGCTGTGATTTTGAACCACGTTCTGGAAACCGAAGGCTTTACAGAATAATTATCTCATGAATCTGGTTTAATGTGAAAAACACAATAACTAGTAGAAGTTGACTGACACTGTTTTAACTTCATAGCTCAATTTGGTGTTTAATTACTCAACAGTGTTTTGTAGTTTTTAGAACATGACTTTACACACATTTCATTGAATTTTCCCTATGATCTTATTGGTGCTGCTATGAAAGTATAAACTTCTATAATTTAAACATAAATTTTAATTTAACATAAATTAAAAATAAATTTTTCACAATTTCAAAATATGTTATTTGCTAGCTTTTGCTTAAGATTGGTGGCTTTTAATTAAGATTATGACTAATACATAATTGTGGCTTCCCTGATAGCTCAGTTGGTAAAGAATCCACCTGCGACACAGGAGACCCCAGTTCAATTCCTGGGTGGGAAGAGCCCCTGGAAAAGGGTAAGGCTACCCACTCCAGTATTCTGACCTGGAGATTTCCATGGGTTGTATAGTCCATGGGGTCACAAAGAGTCAGATACATACAACTGAGTGACTTTCACTTTCAATACATAATTAAGTTTATTTCATGCCTTTTTGTAGAATCCCTGCTCTTAAATGCACTGGACGGTCAACAACAAGGACACATCACTGGTTATAGGCGGACCACCATAGACCCCTGGCATTAGGTGATGGTCCAGATGTTAAAATCTCACAGGTGGTGAAACTGGGGGTGTAAAACCCTGGGGGCAGGGTGCTTAATTTCCAAGCAGGATGAATGAAGGAAATGGCAGCTCTTTGCCTATGGAAATCACATGGCTACTTCTGGGCACCGCTGTTGACCTGGAGAGCAGCCAGGTAACACCATGGAAAACCAGCAGCAGATTCAGGGCTTCCCAGAACCCTCCACCCGGAAAATGCTTCCTTTGGTTGATCCCACGCTGGGGTTCAAGTCACTGGTCATAAGGAAGCAGGACCTTCAAAATGACACACCAGCTTTCTGCTACTCTCAGAGGACTTTTGAGTTGAGAATATCCAATCCTTTGATAATTAGAAGTTTGCTTTCAAACAATCAATAAAAAGTGTCGTAAAGCTCAAATCAATTCAGCAAGTTAATTGGCTTTACATAATTTAATAACTAATGTTCAAGAGATGGTTCCCTTTTAACCTTGAAAGAATTTTAAGGCAATTAAACATCAATGGAAAAATTATATTTGTAAAATGCAACAGTAAGCTGAATACATCTGCATTTAATTGAGCTTATTTTCTGAAGTTATCATGAAACTTGCATATTAAGTGCAATTAAAAAAAAAGTGCAATTAACACAAAACACAAGTGAGACTCTGTAGGAAAGGCAGGGTTTGGGGACGGGGGGAAGGGAGGGGCTGTTGTGCCCCTCTTGAGTGAGATGTCTGCCTCCCCCTAACCCACATACATGTACACATACACATGCATGCACACATGCAAACATGCACATCCACACACACAGATGCAGACACGCACACACATGCAGACATGCAGACATGCACATATACACGGGTGTGCATGAATATGTGGGCATGGACACACATGCAGACATGCATGTGCGCACATACACACATGTGTGTACATGTGCAGATATGCGCACGCGCACACACACACATGCATTCATACAGAGGCACTGCTGACTCTCTAAGGCTCCCCCACTGGACATGCAGATGCCCTGTGCCTGGCTGTCATCCACTGGCATCTGGTCTTTCCCTTCCTTCATGGAAGATGCCCCTCCTCCTCACATTCTGCTCCCCCCCTGGAGGCCCTGGAGGCCTTGTCACCCACCCAGGACCCTCAGACAGTAACCTCTGAGAGGAGGCAATACCACTGTGCAGTTTTCCCCCGGAACTTGTCATCCCTGAGAACCACAAGGAAATGAATCCGGATGGCTCTCTGGTCTCAGCTGTCATCCTGCCAGCATCCTTGCTCGAGCACCCTGGGTTCACCCTTCACCCTTGTTCAGTCTCTCACCTTTGTCTAGGACATTGGGTGCTAAACCAAAAGCTTCTGCACAGCAAAGGAAACCATCAATAAATTGGAAAGGGAGCCTATTGAAATGTAGAAGATATTTGCAAATGATATATACAATAAGGGATTGATATCCAAAATATTTTAAAGAACTCATACAGGTCAACATCAAAACAACAGTGAAAAATTTTGAATAATAGCAGAAGACCTAAACTGACATTTTTCTGAAGAAAACTTACAGACAGCCAACAGGTGCATGAAAAGATGATCAGCATCACTAATAACCAGGGAAATGCACATCAAAACCACAGCAAGATGTCACCCCATACCTGTCAGAGTAGCTGCCATCCAAAAGAATATAAACAATCAAAGTTGGGCAGCACTTGGAGAAAAGGGAACCCTCGGATGCTGTTGATGGAAATGTAACTTGGTGCAGTCACTATGGAAAACAGGATAGAGGTTCCTTTAAAAATTAGAAGTAGAACTACCATGTGATCTGGCTATTCCACTCCTAGGTATATATATCTGAAGAAAACAAAAACAGTAATTTGAAAAGACATGCACTTTCATGTTTACTGAAGCATTATTTACAATAATCAGGTTATGGAAATAACCTAAGTTTCCATCAATGGTTGAATGGACTCAGAAGTGTGGTAAATACATATACAACAGAATATTATTCACTCATAAAAAATGAATGTGATCTGACCATTTGTGACAATGTGGATAAGTTAGATGAGGGATAAATGAAGTAGGTCAGACAGAGAAAGGTAAATACCATCTCAACTCACTTGCACCTAGAACCGAAAGACGCAGCACAGTAACCAGGCTCATGGACACAGACAACAGAGAGGCAGTTCCCAGCGGTGAGGGCTGGGTGTGGCCCAACTGGCGAAGGGGGCCAGAACGTCCAAGTTGCCAGTCCTGAAGAGGCAATGATACAGCATGGTGACCATAGTTAATACACTGTGTTGCTAATTTGAAAGCTGCTAAGAGAGTAAATCTTAGCAGTCTTCATCACAAGGAAAAACATTTGTAGCTATGTGTGGGGACAGATGTTAACCTGGCTTATAGTGATCACTCCACAATATACACAAGTATGCAGTCATCTAATCATCTGCATCTGACACTAATGCAGTAAGTCAGTACGCCTGCATGCTAAGTGGTTCCAGTCGTGTCTGACTCTTCACAACCACATGGACTGTATAGCCCGTGAGGCTCCTCTGTCCATGGGATTCTCCAGGCAAGAACACTGGCGTGGGTTGCCATTTCCTCCTCCAGGGGATCTTCCCGACCCAATCTTTACCACTAGTGCCACTGGGAAGCCCATAATTTAATGTGCCTCAAGTTAAAAAATAAAAAATAAACATGCTTTTAGGCATTTCGTAGTTGTGCCCATATCTGGGTTCTCATGGGGGCGGTTTCTGTCTGTTTATTCTGTTGCCTTGAATGGGACTGACTTCCCTGTTTCTTCGCTTCCCTGATGATCTGCTGCTGCTGTTGTTGGAAAGTGGACACTTGACTCTTACACTGTGGTCAGTCTGGAGGTCAGTCCCCCCCTCGGTCTTCCTTCCTTTCCTTCTTTGAAGGTTGGAGGCTGCGTCTTCACCCAGAATCACCCAGAACTGAAAGTGCAAGGTCCGCTCAGGTCTTTTCTGAGCCTGAGCATCTCCTTGTGGTGAGTTTCTAAATTATCCCTTATCTGGAGTTATTTTTCAATGTTCCAATCTTTAGATGCCTGGCTCCCAAAGTGGGGAAAAGAACAACAACAACGACAAAAAAAAGTGTCTATAGCTTTGAAGAATCGGGGACCCTTGTCGTACAGGAGATCACAGCCTTATGGCGCCTGAAGATGTCGGGGCCCCCGTCACCCCCAGCCCTGCAGAAGGGATGCACTGGCCAGCAGTCCTCACCTGGGAGCGACCGAGCCGGGCTGTGTGGGAGCAGCCAGGCCCCAGGTGGGGGACGGTCCATCCGGGACAGGAGAGTCAGGCCTTCGGGTGCAGTCAGGTGGGTGCCCACGGCCTCCTTCGTCCCCAGAAGGGCCACCCCTGACGGCACTCGTGACCTCGTGGACACACAGGCGCATCTCTGACTGACCGCTGTGGAGGGACGGGGCCTCCAGGGGGCACGGGACCCTAGCAGGTCCCACCCTGTCCCGTCCAGCTGCGCCCCAAAGCCAGAGGCCGCGGCTGAGGCCCCATCAGTGCCTGTTCCTGGGCCCTGGGACTACGGGGCCGCAGCTGGCCCTGTGGTAGCCTCAGAGGACCAGCCTGGCCGGGCAGCAGGACCACCGGCCCCGTGGGGGGGCTCGGGCAGGGCATTGTGCCCAGGGGACAGGTCTCCCTGTCTCTGTAGGCTGGTGGTGAGAGGCTGCTCGTGGAGGATGGGGGGGGACTCCAGGAGTGCCCACGGACGGACAGGCTGTCAGGGTGCCAACAGACCTGGAGGGGGAGGGCTGCTCCCCTGAACCCCAACGGCCAGTGGGGGCCGTGCATGGGGCCCCCCGGGACCAGCAGGAGCTGATCTCCTGGTCTTTCATCATTAACGATCACGAATGAGAGGCCTGAGGCCTGAACGTGAGGACCCTCTAAAGGGACCAATGGGCAGTGACAGGCGGGGGGCGGCCAGCCGTCTGCAGGGGCAAGGCCTGGCACTCACGGGGCTGGGGTGTCTCTGGAAGCAGGGGCGTGGGCAAGGCCTGGTGCAGAGCAGCAGCTCGCGAGGGCGGTCATGCTCCCCCCAGCATCACACAGGTGGGCAGGGGGAGCAGCCCCCTGAGGCCACATCCACCGGGCACGGGCTACCACGGCCTGCGGCGCGGGTCATTCAGTCATCATCAGGATCGCTGTTCCCCTCTGCTAACACCGTGGCCTTGTCTGAGCAAAGCACCTCCCTCTGTCACAAAGCATCCTGGCCCCGAGTGATGCAGAGACCCGGAGTGCGGCAGCCCCACAAGCAGAGGTGAAGTGGTTCCGTCTGCATCACGGGTCGACAGGCACGAGGAGGTGTCTAATCAAGGATTCAGGCGATGTCTTCCCAGCGCCTCTTGGGTGGTTTCACGTCCTGCAGACGCAGTGTCCCGGCCGCGACCTGGGGGCAGGCATGTCTTCCGTCTGCGGTGTGGGGCCAAACACCCTCTCAGGACGCAGGGCAGGAACTGAATCCCTGCGGAGGCGGGGTGCTTACTGAAAGACACCTGCATTCTTAGTGCTTTGCGTCTGTATTTTACAACAAGGCCCTCGCAGCTGAAACACTGCCCCTCGGCTTCCTCCGCTCTCTGGCTGGCGAACTGGGGCCTCCCCTGGGAGACACAGGTCATCCCAGGATGGCTGCTCTACACCCCAGACCTCTTCATCTTATTCTGCTAAGCACGGTGAGCTTCTGTCATTGCTGAGAATAATTGACTTGTTTTTAATCTATATCAAGGCCCAGGTTAAGAACTGGACAATGCAATGCATTTATTACTTCACTCTGCTGTTTATTCTAGTGTGAAATTGTTTTCTAGGGGGTGATTAATCCCTCCAAGACAGTCTGCCCTTGCTGGCTGCATGGACCTGCCATCATGCTGCCGGCGAGGCTTTGTTGCACGTCAGCACCGCGCCGTCCTCTGTCACTCAGCCCAGCCCAGTGTCCTTCACTCATTTTCTGAGGGAGGCTCTGGGGAGTGATCAATGACATGTCTTCTCAGCAAGGAAGAGCGCAGAGGCTGCTGGCCAGACAACGAGGGTCCCTGGCGGTTTAGGGGCTGTACCCCAGATGGGAAGTGCCCCACTGTCCCGTCTGCTCTAGAAAGCATAGAGTGCCCACCAGGGGACCCTCAAGGCCGCTGGTTGGTAGTGGACAGTCGTGGGCACTGCCCGTGGGCTGGGGGGCGGGTGAGTGAGAGCAGGAGCTCATTCTGTGGGTGAGCCCCAGCCCCACTGTGCCTGCCTCCCCCTGAGCAGGTTCCTGGAGGGATGGACCAGCCCCTGGGGAGCAAGAAGGCTGAAGGGGCCACCCTGGTGGAGACGCAGCAGCCGGGAGGACGTGCTTCACTGTGCTGGGGGCTTCTCACCCTGAGGACCCTGGTGCAGAGCGTGGGCCACTCTGAGCACCCAGCAGCACTCACGCTTCTGCCTTCAGGAGTCCTGGAGACCAGAGGTCCAGGGGTTCAGGGGTCCAGGAGTCCCAGACCCCCAGGCTCTGATGATCGAAACTGCCTCCAGAGACCACCAGCGCCCCCAGTGAGAACAAACCTGGGGTGAGAGGAGAGGACCCTGTGTGTCCCCCACCCTGGAGGTGCTTCTGCAGCTGCCCCATGCCTGGAGGGGAGGGGTGGCTCCCCATCCCCCCGCCACCTTGGAAAGATTGCTTCACCAAGTCAGTCTTCCTGAGGGCACGACGGTTCTGATGGAGCTGTGAGCTGTGGAGGGAGGGGGAGACTCTGCTGTGGCATCCAGGGAGGAGGGGCCAGGCCTGCCCCAGGGAAGCAGGAGAGCTGGACCCATGAGGGCGTGTGGGGCCCACTCCCTGGTCCTGCCGACCCTCACCAGTATCATTGCCCCGGGCTCTGCCCCAAGGTACTTCCTGGGCAGGCTGTCCAGTCACTGGGCCCGTCCTCCCCTGTCACTGAGGCCTGACCTCCCCGTCACTGAGGCCCGTCCTCCCCCATCACTGGGCCCATCCTCCCCATCACTGAGGCCCGTCCTCCCCATCACTGGCTCCATCTTCCCCATCACTGGCCCTGTCCTGCCCCGTCACTGGGGCCTGTCCTCCCCACCACTGGGCCCATCTTCCCCCATCACTGGGGCCCATCCTCCTTGTCACTGGGGCCCGTCCTCCCCCATCACTAGGGCACGTCCTCCCCATCACTGGCCCCATCCTCCCCGTCACTGGGCCTGTCCTGCCCCATCACTGGGGCCCGGTCCTCCCCGTCACTGGGCCTGTCCTGCCCCATCACTGGGGCCCGGTCCTCCCCCATCACTGGCCCCATCATCCCCCATCACTGGGCCGGTCCCCCCCATCACTGGCCCCGTCCTCCCCATCACTGGGCCTATCCTCCCTGTCATGCGGGTCCGTCCTCTCTCCCTGATGACCCTCGTCCTGCAGAGCCTAACCGGGAGCACAGGGCTCCTCTGGCCGGGGCATCACATGGACCAAGCTCTGCATCCATCCAGGGGCGAGGTGTCCACGGATGGGGGCGTGGGGCCCCAGACCCCCTGAGCTCACCCCCGGCAGGGCCTGTCCCCCCACCCTCCTCACCGTCCTCAGGACAGGACACATCTTCACAGCTGAGAGTCTGGGCCCTTCTCCCACTGCTGTCCCTTGGGGTCTACCTGAGGCAGGAGCAGGCGCCCCCCCAGACTCCCCATGCCCATCCTGCCCCCATGGCTCTCCATTCCTCCTCTTCCACGCCCAGCCTAGAGAGAGAGCTGCCGGGCTCCTGGCCTCCATGTGCATGGCCTGGCCTTTCCTATCACGTGGCTGAGGGTTTGGAGGGAAGGGTGTGGGGATGCTGTATCACGAGGCTGCTCGCTCCCTGCCCGGGGGGCTCCAGGCGCGAGTCTGGGTCTGGGGCCTGGGGTGCAGGGTAGGGCTGAGGGTACCGTTCTCAGGACCTGGGGGAACCCGGAGGCAGGTGGAACAGGGTGACAGGCATCTGATGAGCCTGAGAAGCCTGACAGCTCTTCCTAAATGGAAGGGCTTCCATCACCCTTAGCTTATCTCCCGTTTCTTTCTCTCTCACCCAAGGATCCATGGGCTGGAGGACCTCCTTGCCCAGGCCCAGGGGTTCCTGCCCCCACTTTCAGGGGGGTCCCCCCGGCTGGCGTGTGATATTCGGGGTCTAGGAGATGCTCACACTGTAAGTCAACCCCTCCCAACAGGACGGGGTCACAGGGAACCAGTGGGGCTGGGGGTGAGGGCCCAGGGGGAAGGGACCAATGGGGCCAGGGGCTTGGGGGGGCACCAGGGCCTCAGGGGGGCAGGCTGAGGGGCACATGCTCGCAGCACCCATGGGTGGGTGCATGTCTGCACGCAGGTGCACCCCACCCACTGTGCACACCCACCCACTGTGCACATCTGTGTGTTAGTGCACACGCGTTAGTGCACACACACGGTAGTGCACACACATGTTAGTGCACACACATTAGTGCACACACGCATTAGTGCGCACATGCTAGCACACATCTGAGACTGGCATCGACGAAGGAGACCTGCTCGTCTCCCTGGAGACAGTTCCCATCCTTCCACCATCTCAGCCCTCACGTTCCATTTTTCACTCTCTAGTTTTTCCTCTCATATTTTTGACATTTCCTGGCTGACACCAATGCTTACCTGGCTGGACCCGGGTCCCCTGTGCCCTTAAATGGTCTGACTGGGAACGCACAAGGGGCCCACTGCCCCCCGGGGTTAAAAGAAGGCGGGGTTGAGAGACGCCTGCCAGTGCTCAGGAGACGGTTGTTTGCTTGCTGGTTGTGGTTCTTCGGAAACTTGTTTAAGAAATAAATTCTTCTCAAAATTACGTGAGAACTAGCGAGGCCACTTTGGCAGGTGCCCCGTGTGGCCGGTGAGGACCGTGTTTCCCTCATCACCACCCCCAGGGCGCTTCCTGCGAAGCTGGTTTGCAGGGACGGTCAGGGTGTCCTGTCCTGTCTGAAACTGTGGGCTCTACGTGTGCGCTGTGCGTGGAGACGTGGGGGGTGTGCTATGTGGTGTGCACGTTGGATATGATGTGTGTATGTATGATGTGGATCGGGTACATGTGATGTGTGTGCATGTGTGTGTACATGTGTGTGCTGTGTGCACTGTGTGTGTGGTGTGTGGGGGGCATGGATGGGGAGCAGGGCCAGGAGATGGGGGGACCATGTCAAAAGCAGGTCTGCGTGGGGCTCTGGGGGCCTGGGCCTCCTCTGTGCCCTGGGCAGTGGGTTGTGGGCAGTGGTTATGGGCCCCTCCCTGGAGGCTCTCTCCCCACCCCCAGCCTTTGATTCCATGATGACCACTGGCCCCTTCCTGCCTCCTTGCTGGCCTGTTTGCACCAGGCACGTGACAGCTCACAGCGTCTTTCCTCCTCTTTGTAAAGTGCCCGACACCAGGCCTGGTGATGCAGTGGTAAGTAGCTCAGAGACAGCCTCTGGGGGGTGGTGGGCCACAGGCGGACATGAGCTGGAAGCCCACAGTCTCCCCCACTCGTAATGCGGCCCGTCACCCAGAGGACAACACGCTTCCATGGCAGCAGCACTGAGACGGCCTAGCTGACCAATTGGTTTCCATGGAAACCTCCTGCGCCTGGCAGCGCTGCCGGCTTCGCATAGGGAAGGATGAGGAACACGGCCCACACCACGTGTTCTGACCCATCTCCAAGCTCAGCTCTCATCACATGTGCTCCTGTGCTGTGTGCGGGCCAGACCCTGGGGCCTGGGGTCTGTCCCCTGCTTGCCCCCATGTGGGACTCTCGAGCCCTGCCCTGGGCGGCGCCTGTCGGCAACGGTGGCATGCCATCCACATCTGCATCTCTCGCGAACATCACAGGTGTGGAGCCTCTCTAAAGGTCCTGGGGCATCTCTGAAAGTCCTGGGGCCTCTCTAAACATGCTGGGCCTCTCTGAAGGCATTGGGGCCTCTCTAAAGGTCCTGGGGCCTCTCTAAAGGTGCTGGGGCCTCTCTGAAGGTGCTGGGGTCTCTCTGAAGGTCCTGGAGCCTCTCTAAAGGTGCTGGGGCCTCTCTGAAGGTCCCGGAGCCTCTCTGAAGGTGCTGGGGCCTCTCTGAAGGTCCCGGAGCCTCTCTGAAGGTGCTGGGGCCTCTCTGAAGGTCCCGGAGCCTCTCTGAAGGTGCTGGGGCCTCTCTGAAGGTCCTGGAGCCTCTCTGAAGGTGCTGGGGCCTCTCTGAAGGTGCTGGGGCCTCTCTAAAGGTGCTGGGGCCTCTCTAAAGGTCCTGGGGCCTCTCTGAAGGTGCTGGGGCCTCTCTGAAGGTGCTGGGGCCTCTCTGAAGGCGTTGGGGCCTCTCTAAAGGCTCTGGGGCCTCTCTAAAGGTCCTGGGGCCTCTCTGAAGGTGCTGGGGCCTCTCTGAAGGTGCTGGGGCCTCTCTGAAGGTGCTGGGGCCTCTCTGAAGGTCCCGGAGCCTCTCTGAAGGTGCTGGGGCCTCTCTCAAGGTCCCGGAGCCTCTCTGAAGGTGCTGGGGCCTCTCTGAAGGTGCTGGGGCCTCTCTGAAGGTCCCAGAGCCTCTCTGAAGGTGCTGGGGCCTCTCTAAAGGTCCTGGAGCCTCTCTAAATGTGCTGGGGCCTCTCTAAAGGTGCTGGGCCTCTAAAGTCCAGGATGCAGGAAGTGGGCAGTGGCTTGGCCACCATCTCCAGCTAACGAGGGCACGCAGCTTGCTCAGGCCGGGGACACTCAGAGCTGACCCATCGACCTAGGGGCAGGTCCTGACCCCAACCCCTGACCCCCGCCCTGGGCCCTCTCCATAGCTCTTGCCGGGATGGACAATCTACTCCAGCGGCTGAATTCTGGCAGCTCGAGTCTATCTCGAGAGCTTCCAGGGCTGGAACTGTTTTCTAGAAGCTTCTCTGGAGCCCCAAGCTCAGTCAGGGCTTGGACTCCTGGCAGCCAGTCTGTTCTTCTGCCCCATCCCAAGGGGGCATCTCTGGACAGCTCAGGGGCTTCGGGACCTGGGACCTACGGGACCAGGAGGGGTGTGAAGGCCCCTGGGTTTCGGTGGTGATGAGAATGGGTCCTGGGTCCTGTCGGGCTCCAGGCCAACCTTACGGAGCCCCGCAGCCTACAGTGTGGACAGCATCGGGGGACAGCTGTGTGGCCTGTGAGCGTGGACAGTGTTGGCCTGCCAGGAGTGCCGTCCACGGGACCTGCCAGCCATGGGGAAAACAGAGGGTGGTGCCCAGGGCATCAGGACCTGGGAATGGAGGGGAGTAGGGAGGTGTGAGGGGGCCCTCCAGATGAGCAGGTGGAAGGGCCACTGCTCCAGGGAGGGCGCTGGGCATGGCCCCAGCCCCACCACAGCCCAGAGGCCCCCAGCTGCCCGCTGCTATCCTGATGCCCAGGGTGGGGCTGGGGCATGGATGGGGGCAAGACTTCATGGGGCAGCATGGAGAGCACTCCTGAAGCCTTCCCCCTCACAGCACGGACACTTCAAACTGCCCCGAGTCTTGAGGAGCTGGCCCACGGCCCCTGTGATATTCAGGGGTGGCAGCCACCTCCTCTGAGAAGCCTTTCCTGCTAGCTGCCCACCCATCCGGCCTGTCCCAGGACTCGGGGCTTTAGGGGCTGGGACAGGAACCTCCTGGGGACCCCGGACACACACTCCTGGACGCCCAGCCCTACGAGACATCAGTGCCATCCCTGCTGCTACCTCCTCAAGTCGCCCTGTAACCATGCCGCTTCCTTCCGCGGCCGTCAGCACATGCACCCCCACTCTCTGCAGAGGAGAAGCGTCCTCTGTCAGCGGCAGCTTCCCCATGGAGCGCTCGCCTGGCACCTGGCACGTTCAAGGCACATTTACGCCACAAACGGGAATGGCCAGCTCCCCGCCCCCATTCCGCATGTCCTGGGCCTCCCGGATGTCACCCTGCTCACTCTCTCCTCCCAAGAGATTTGCCCTGACACCTCTGGCTGAGAAAACATCTGCATCTCTGCAGCTCCAGGAGGGAGCATGGGTCCTGAGACGCAGGAACTGACCAAGTGACTCTGGGCTCATGCTTGGGAATGTCAGCTCTGTGGTCCAGCCCATCGTCTCTGCACTGAGTTCCAATCCTTATTTAGTGATCCGGCCTATCATGACCCACAACAGGCCTATGATCCACAGGTAAATACCGTGCCCTTTCCGCGTCTATCCTGTTTATTTCTGTCTAAAGTTCACTGCAGAGTACAGAGCTGCAGCATCGTCTGTCTGAGAAAATAAAGGGGACGGACCTCAGCAAGCTCAGGGCGGCAGGGGCTGCCCCATGGTGAGCACGGCGCTGCTTCTAGCTGAGCTCCCCGCCCTCCACGCCGCCCTGCGCCTCGCCGCTGCCGGCCCTGCAAAGAGCTCTCAGGGGCAGTGGCCCCCTCCCCAGCATTCTCTAAGCCCTCTGCTCACCTCACTCACTCATCCACAGACACTGACCGGGAACCTTGTGATGCTGCAGGCGCTGTCTGCCCCCTGGGTCACAGGAGGGGTGAGTAGGGTCCCGTCTTGTGTCCAGTTGCAGACTTGCCTTGATCTGCACCCAGACTCTGTGAGCCTATTTCCTTATCCGTAGACGAGGGATAACGTTTCTTCTCCCAGCTCTGTAGGTTCCAGGCCCCGTGACGCCTCAGCGTGGCGTCTGTGGACGTTTCCTTCTGCTCCTCTGCACATGGGGCTACCCTGGGTCCCTGGCCCCCCTGACTCATCTGTTCTGTGCTGATGGGGTTTGGGGGGGCGGGGAGGATGCCACCCGGGAGCCGGGTGACCAGCTCCCAGGCCCCTGCAGTCCGGCCTGTCCCCTTGGGGCAGGTTCACCTGCAGTGACCCTAGGTGCCCTCAGGGCTTGCGAGTGTGCGCCGTGGGGTGACTGCAGGCTCAAGGAGCAGGGCGGGGTCCTGGGCTGTGGCCCCAGCTGTTGGCCCTCCTTGCCCAGTTGGTGCTCCGTCGATGTGCTCCTCTGTCCCAGCCACAGGCCGCGGGCGAGCCCCGGGCACTTCACATGATGCGCCCTGCCTGGAGCCCAGCCTGCCCGCTCTGGGGAGCCCACACTGTCCCCAGGGGTCTGCACCCCTCGCCTTGGGCCGTGGGGTCAGGGCCGGCCTCTCCACCCCCCCGGCCTTCCCGCCACTTCCTGCCCTTTCTTCGTCCCTCGCTGCACTGTCTCTTGAAAGGTCACTCGAGCGCCACAGAAGACCGCTTCCTTGGGTACTGCACGCTCTCTGCTGCTCTCACTGCACGTGATGTAAATGCCTTTAATGCACGGAGGAAGCTATTTAATGAAGCGAATTATAAAACATTTACAGAGAAGTCCTGAATTTCAGGCGACTCACTCGAAATGAAGACCCAACCTCCTGGCAGTGCCTAGCAGACAGCTTGCGCTCTTCGGGAGCTTTGCAGGTCAGGGAGCCTCGGGGCACTTCTGTCTGCCACACACACTTCTCTCCCCTCCTCCGTGTCCAGCCAGGAAGAGAACGCGCTGCGCCTTGTTCGTCTGGATGGCCGGCAGGCGTGTGAAGCCAAGGCACCCAGTCTGCCTGTGTGCGGTTCTCTTCGCTGCAATTCAGGACAGTCCTGAGATGAGAGGCTGATTCTAGAACCTCTGGGCGCTGGGGGAGGGAAGGGCCACTGTGGAGCAGAGAGGAAGGCCGGGCCGGGCGGCCACACCAGCGCAGGGCAGAGAGGGGCACGTGCCCGAAGAGTGGGGCTGGCAGGACGGGCTGCTTGGGAAAGGGGGTCACGGCCTGTGGCCACCACCTCAGAGGCCTCCCACCCACCGGGAGGCCCCTCCTGCAGCCCTCAGCCCTGGCACGGCTCCTCCTCTCCCGCTCGGACCGGCCCTGGCGTCACCGTCGCTCTCGCTGGCCCTGCCCAGGCGGCCTCGCTGGGCCCCGCCCCCGCCCCCGGTCCCACTGGCCACGTGCCCCTGCTGCCCCTGCCATCCTAGACAGTAGATGCGCAGAGACTTACCGAGCCGTCCTGAGTTGCTCTCTGGTACACAGGGGGGTCCTGCCGATCCAGCGTCGAGCTGGGTGGACAGCAAATAGGTCCAGTGGCCAGTGCATCTCCACATCTCGGCAATGAACTGGCTGGAAATCCGGAGGGGCAGGCCTTTCCCAGGAGCCTGGTGATGCTTCAGGCACCCGGCCAGGTGCGCTGCCTCTGGTTCTGGTTAAAGAAGCTAATTCATCCTCTGCTTTGTACAGGTCCATTCCACTCCCACACTCAGACAAACCAGAGAAATGACAAGGGGCAGAACTGCCTCGCACAAAGACCTATTCTCATCAGTGTTTCTTATAGTCAGAAGGAAAAAAATTAGTGGATTTTCCAGATCTTTTCTTATACATGTTTCACTTATTCCTCACACCAGAGTTACATTTGTCCCTGTGAGCATAGGGTCACCCGAGGACCACTGTGCCCAGTGTGGAAGGATGTGACCCCCCAGGCTGACCTGTGAACATGATATCCCAGCAGAGAAGCCCGCCCTCAGCTCAGAGGAATCTTAAAAGCAACGTGTGCGGCATAAAACGGACACAGTGAGCTCCCTGCAGTCGCAGGGCACCGCTGACTATGGAGCTGGGGGCCCGCCTCAGGTCAGGGGGCTCCCCAGGCCCCCAGAGGGGCCCTGGGCAGTTGGCTTTGGACCCCTCTTTCCTTCCTCTCTCTTTGCCAAGCCAGCCAAGACCCTGGTGGATCCACCGCCAGTTTCCTGAGGGGGCAGAATGTAGGCTGCTGAGAAATCGCTCCCCCACCACAGGAGTCGCAGGGGAGGCCGGGCAGCTGGGGGCGGGTGGCGGTCAGTGCCTCTGGTGTTGGCCATGCTCCCTGTGGACGCTGCTCTGAGCCTGTGTGGGTGCCCGACCTCCGGAGGGGAGCACGCAGCGTAGGACCAGAGGCCTGCCAGAGGGGCCATGTGCAGTCCTCCCCTCACAGCTAATCAGCCAGAAGGAGTTTTGTCCTGAAAGGCAAACAGTTTGGTTTCAGCTCTGCACAGACAGGCTGCATAGCACAGCCACCGTACTGCAGAGTGAGCCCAGGTCAGTCAGCAAATCATCCTGACACGGCCGCCCCTCCCATCTGACACAACCAGAAGTTTCCCAAGCCACGCAGATGTGGACACAGCGGCAAGGGATTCACTGCAGTCTTTAGGAGCACGAATGATTGATTCTTTAGCTAATTTTAGTTACAAGGCGCCCTCTCACGCCGTTATACCAAATTCATCACACAGGGTTAGAGGCAAAAGAAGAATCAAGTTCCTCCTGCTCCCCAAAATAAATGGTGACATGATTCTTGACTTTTTTTGAAAATGGTGAAAAGTTTTTCCTATTTGATGGTAGAGAATGTGACGCAGACAGAATGTCAGTATTTGGCACGAACCTGGCTCAGCTGATGTGGTAAATTATGAGGACTGGGTATACGATGGAGCATTTCAATGCAGCCCAAATACATATCACCAGTTGCATACATTCTACACATAAGAAGTAGCAGCATCCCTCATCTTCTCACTTCCAAGGAATTCTGAAGAGACTTCAGTGAATTTTTTCATATTGTAAAGAACTTACCTCCACCGTTAGATCCTAAATCCTCAATAACCGACTTTGAGAAGGGAAGTATCATCACTGTCTATAATATATACCCAAATAAAACCATAATCATGAATCCACACACGTCTTTTTATTGCCAAACAATATTCCATTTTATGGGTATAGCACATTTTTTTCCTTTTTATTGGAGGATACTTGCTTTACAATATTGCATTGGTTTCTGCCACACAGCAACATGAACCAGCCATAGGTATACATATGTCCCCTCCCTCATGAACCTCCCTCCCACCTCCCACCCCATCCCACCTCTCTAGGCTATCACAGAGCGTGGGGTTGAGCTCCGTGCATCACACAGCAAATGCCCACCTGCATTCTGTTTTTCGCGTGGTGATGTACATGTTTGCACGCTACTCTCTCAGCTCGTCCCACCCTCTCCTCCCCCGCTGTGTCCACAGGGCTGTTCTCTTTGCAGGGCGACAGTGCAGATGTAGACATAGAGCACACATATTTTAAATGTGTTCTGATGTGGTTTGGTAGTTTCATTTTTTACAATAAAATCTTTTAAGTATTTAATTGTTAATTTTCATGTTTCATTATGTCCTTTTTTAACACACTTCATTTATTTTCTTTTCATTATTTTTTTAAGGCAAAATTGTCTTACAGCCAATTAGTTGTGCAGTGAAACAGCTTCAGTGAAAATTCTTACATGAAAACACCTAGAACCCAAAGACACAGGGATATAACGTAAGTGACCCAAGGGTGGCCAGTTGAGGTGTAATTAAACCCTCCCCTGGGATCCCTTCTCCCTGGGGGTGGCTGGGTGACTGGCAGTGTGGCTGGTGGGGGCCAAGAGGAAGCAGCGAGAGGTTTGGGGTCTGCAGGGAGGGGACACCCTGGTGCTGGGCTCCACGGCAGCCCCGCCTGCCAAGAGAGCAGGGTTACCCCCGAATCTGAGACGACCCATCCTCCAACATGCCCAGATGGGGTGAGGACAGAGGACCGTCTGGGAAGCAAAGCCCTGGCTCCCTGGCGGTCTACTCTAAGCAGGCTTGACAGACAGGTATTCTTGCCAAGTGTCCCTGCTAAACAGCTGCCTTCCGGCCTTGGCGCTGCCCACCTTCACGGACAGCCGCCTGTGCTCTCAGTCCACCTCCCAGAGGACAAGTGCACAACGACCAACCGCTGACCGCAGGGAGCAGGGCCCCGCACAAAGCGTCCTCTCTGATGGGCCAGGCCCCCATTTAGATGAGTCTGGCATCGAGGTTGCCCAGCACCAAGTGACCCGGGCCAGCCACCTCTGGACGCTGGTCCTTGCCAATGACCTGAGGGGCAGATGGGGCGACCGGGGTCTTGACCACAGGCCTTGACTCCACTTTCCAGCTTCTGACCCAAGGCTTCCCCTCCTCAGGCTACGTGCTTCATCAGGACCAAGGTCACAGAGCGTCCTGGGCACAAGACGGGCTCAATCCTCCATGTGAGGCCTGTGAGCAGCTCTGGCCTGGCTCAGTGGGTCAACAGCTGGACCCTCAGCTTTCAGCCAGGCCAGTGCCTCCATGAGAAAACTGATCACCCCCACCCCTTCGTGGAGACCTCTCCCCACCTGGATCTCTCTGAATTCTCTAAGGCTTCGAGACTTTGCCAAGATCCTTAGAATTAGAATTGGGGCTTCCCTGATGCTTCAGTTGGTAAAGAATCTGCCTGTAATGCAGGAGACCCCGGTTCGATTCCTGGGTGGGGAAGATCCACTGGAGAAGGGATAGGCTACCCACTCCAGTATTCTTGGGCTTCCCTGTGGCTCAGCTGGTAAAGATTACACCTGCAATGCGGGAGACTGGGTTTGATCCCTGTGTTGGGAAGATCCCCTGGAGAAGGGACCAGCTACCCACTCCATATTCTAGCCTAGAGAACTCCACGGATTGTATAGTCAGTAGGGTCGCAAAGAGTTGGACACGACTGAGCGAATTTCACTTAGAATTAAAAACACATTAAAAATTTTTTTGGATAAATATGATACAACCAGATATTTGCTTCTTGGTTTCTTCAAACCCATTCCCCAGGGTTCAGGGAGAGAAGCCTCGGCCTGAGGGGACACGCCTTTGGGAAGGCGAGGCCGATGTGGGGACTGAGCATCGGCTGCCCCACCGTAGCTTCTCCCCAGCCCTCATTCTGTTTGTGACAAAGTGAGCAATTTCCTGGAGGGAAACTTACTGCCTGGAAGTGAAACAGAAGATATGTATATGGTCTGCCTGAAACTCATTGGTGCCAAAGTCAGCCTTCATTCTTCCAGCAAGAGCGCGGCTGACGTTGGATTTGATAACGACTGAAGTTGTGTGGCTTTATCTTAGGGTCCAAGTGGTCCTGGCGACAGAATGCTGAGGCCGTGGCCGTGGCAGTGGCAGTCGGGGCTGTGGTTAAAGACAAAGGTCCCTCGAGATGCGGTAAGGCTCCCGGGTCCTGCGGCAGGTGGAGCCCTGAGTGAAGGGGCAGGGGGAAGCAGGTGCCCACGCCTTTGTGCATCAGCAGGAAGGGCTGGATGACGGGGGATGGTGAGTCCGGGGAGGGGGAAGGCAGGCGCACAGGAGGGAGGTGGGGTAGTGACCCACAGCTTATTTTCAGTTCCTGCCCTGGCCCTGCTCAGCAAAGCAGCTCACACCCGCCTGGTGCCCAGCACTGACTGATGTTGATGGGCAGAGAGCCATGGGGCTCCTTCCCCCAGCCCTGCCCGCCTTTCCACACAGTCCCTGTTGACGACATACTTATTTTGCTGATTTCAAGTCTTACGGTGATTCCAGAGGATATTTTCCATTCCAAAAAACAGAAATGCACTCAGCAAGCTCTCACTAATTCTCCCATTGATGTTTATACTGCCTAAATATTCTTGAAAGTCTAAAAACATCTCTTGAACATTCAATTTAATTTCTCCTAAGCAACTCTAATCAATCCTTTGAATAGAATAAAACTTTGGGCGCTTTTTCATTGATAGCTTGGAAGTAAATTTCCCATTTTCAAGGGATTAGAATTTTCCCAGCTCAGAACTCATCTTAGAGGGGAAGGGGATGAGCCTTTTTAAAGATCTGACCCTTTAAAGCTACGCTGGGATTTCAGTTCCACTGTGAGGCTCATGGAGTCAAGTGAGGGGAGCATCCCCCAGCGGGAACCATTTCTAGAAATTCAGAGTCTGCTTCTTACTGCTGATGTCTGTCTCCACTGTGAGGACCCACACCCTGGTCACGTCTATTGCATCCAGGCTGTAACCAGGGCTGCCTGAGTGCCCTCTTGTGCCCCGTCTGGGGCAGTGCTGAGGGCTCCAGGGAGGCGGTGCCAGTTGCCAGCCTGGCAGGTCCATGTGCAGGACCCGGCCACAGTGAGGAGCAGTGTGGTCCTCATGCCTTGTGAGCAGGATGCTCAGGTAGCATCTCTTGGTTCTTCACCACTGAAAGCACCCCTGCATCCTGTGGGCTTAGGAATTGCTGGCAGGAGGCTGGAGGGATGAGTCTCTGCTGGAGACACAGGTGTGGAAGCGGCAGGGCCAGGGTAGAAGAGGTCAGACAGCAGATTCCACACTGGGGTCCGTGCTTTTGCTGCTCTTGTCCTTTCGTTATATTTATGGGGGGGGATCAACCCTGAAACTGAGTGGCTGGGACAGGATTTGAAAAAGGGGGAGCATTCTAGTCCTGCCCTTTTCCTCCTCGTCAGGTAGGTTGGTCCAGCCCAGAGGGAAGGCAGCCTCTTCAGATTCGAGGGGAGTGGTCCCTGTCTCTGGACAGTGATTTTTGGAGGTGGTCATCCACCTCCAGTATCCTTGCAGTCTGTTTGTATTGCTCCAGGACTGAAGGAGGCTCTGGAGACAGGGCTTGATCAAAGTTTCCCTTCTTATTTTTTTGAGAATATATGCACCTCTATGTTCATTGCAGTATTATTTACCATAGCCAAGACATGGAAGCAACCCAAATGCTCAACAGATGAAAGGATAAAGAAGATGTGGTACAAATATACAATGGAATATTACCCAGTCATTAAAAAGAATGAACTCTTCTTATCTGTGACAACTTGGATGGACCTAGATGATACCAGGCTAAAAAATTTACAGAAAGACAAATAATGTATGATTTCATTTACATATGAAATCTAAAAAGAAAAAAAAAAGAGAGAGAGAGAACAAACACAACAAAATGGAAACAGAGTCATTAGATACAGAGACTAAACAGGCAGTTGTCAAGAGAGGAACAGAATGGCTGGAGGAGAGAAATAGGTGAGAGAGGTTAAGAGGTACATACTCCCAGTGGTAAAATAAATGAGTCACACGTGTACAGTGTAGGGAATACAGTCAATACTTAGGTGATATCTTTGTATGGTGACAGATGGTAATTAGACTCACTGTGGTAATCACCTTGAAATTTTAGAAATATCAAATCACTCTGCTGTGTAACAGGAACCAGCCTAGTGTTGTGGGTCAATTATACATCAAAAACAAACTCATAGAACAAGAGGTCACTAGCAGTGTGGTTACTAGTGTGGGTGATGGAGGAGGGGGGGTGGGATCAAGGTAATCAAAAGGTACAAAGTTTCAGATATATGTTAAATAATAAGTACTATGGATGTAACTACAACCTGACAAATACAACTGACATTGCTGTATGCTATGCTATATATGAAAGTTGTTAAGAGAGCAAATCCTAAGAGTTCTCATCACAAGGAAAAATATTTTTTCTACTTCATTAATTTTTATCTATGTGAGTTGATGGATGTTCACTAAACTTATCGTGGTCATGATTTCATGAGGTATGTAAGTCAAATCATTATGCTGCCTGCCTTAAACTTATAGAGGGCTGTGTGTCAATTATATCTCAATAATACTGGGGAAGAAGAATAGAACTCATTTCAAGAAAAACGCTTTCTTGAAAATATAAGGAAAATTGGAAACAGGTTTACAAAACTGCTGTCTTATAAAACCATTGTTGATTTTAAACGTATTTTGTTTGGTCGTAACACAGCCATCCCAGCTCTTGTGGCTGCAGTGTCTTCTGCCATCCACTACTTTCAACGTCTTTGTGGTTCTGCATCAGTAGAGGGGTTAAATGGAGACAGCAATGGCTCCCCACTCCAGTGCTCTCGCCTGGAGAATCCCATGGACAGAGGAGCCTGGTGGGCTGCAGTCCACGGGGTCGCTAGGAGTCCCACACGACTGAGGGACTTCACTTTCACTTCACTCTCATGCATTGGGGAAGGAAATGGCAGCCCACTCCAGTGCTCTCGCCTGGAAAATCCCAGGGACGGGGGAGCCTGGTGGGCTGCCGTCTCTGGGGTCGCACAGAGCCGGACACGACTGAGGTGACTTAGCAGCAGCGGCAGCAGAGGGGTTAGATGCCAATCTGAGCGGCCAGAAGGCAAACAACAACTCTGTGAACAGGAAGACAAGGCTGTTAAAAGCATCCAGTCTCAGAAGTAGAAACAAACAAAAAGGAAAGTGCTTGTCGCTCAGTCGTGTCCGACTCTTTGGGACCCCATGTCCTATCCAGTCCGTGGAATTCTTCAGGCCAGAATACTGGAGTGGGTAGCATTTCCATTCTCCAGGGTGTCTTCCCAACCCAGGGATCGAACCCAGGTCTCCCACATTGCAGGCGGATTCTTTGCCATATGAGCCACCAGGAAAGCCAAGAAAGAAGATGAAAACAGAAACAAAATGAGAGAGTCTGAGTGACCCGTGGGCCATCATGAAATGCGCCAACATACACATCTCCCTGGCGGCTCAGCTGGTAAACGAGCTGCCTGCAATGCGGGAGCCCTGGGTCAGTCCCTCGGTTGGGAAGATCCCCCGGAGAAGGGAAAGGCTCTCCACTCCAGGATTCTGGCCTGGAGAATCCCGTGGGCTGTATAGTCCACGGGGTCACAAAGAGTCGGACACGACTGAGCGACGTTCACTTCACTTCACACATCACCGCAGCCCTCAGGAGAAAAGAAACAGCAGCAGGAAAACACACTGACGGAACGGTGGGCGTGTTTTTCTTAAACTTCGTTTGTCTACAGCAGCTCCGCGGTTGCCGGGCCGCGCGGGAGCCGCGGGTTTGATCCCTGGGTGCGAAGGCAGGCGGAGAGGCCCCCGCGCGGGCAGCCTCGCGGAGCCGCCTCTCCTCCCGCGAGAGCTCATCCCCGAGGTTTGCGTGAGGGAGCGCGTCCCTCAGCCTGGCAGGCGTCGTTTCCCGCCCGCGGGCCCCGCGCGCCACAGGTGCGTCGGGTGAGCCAAACTTCTCGGAGAAGGTGAGTGGGGCGTCTTCGCCGCGTGCGGGGTCCTTGGCGGGGCCGCGGGCACCGTTCCCGGGCCGCGCAGGGCGGTGGCTGAGGGAGACCCGTGGGCGGACGACGCCGTCGGGGGTGGGCGGAGAGCGCTGCCTTCGGGGGCGGGCGGAGAGCGCTGCCGCCGCCCCAGAGCATGCAGTCGTCATGGGGCAACCCGCCCCGCGTCTGGAGTCCCGCCTGGCCGCGCAGTCCAGTCCCGCCCGTTCTGGCGCAGCGTTCGTTCCTGTGGGAGCTGGTGCTGGGGTCGCGGGAGCCACCATGAGGTGGCCGCTGCGCCCTGAGGGCGCAGACGGGAAGGTGGTCTGCAGACTGGGTCCGCGCGGCCAGGGGCCTTGCCAGCGTCCCTGGAGGCCGACTTCCGTCTCGGGCAGGAGAGCTTCCCACACCTTTCTCGGCGCTCCTCCCCTGCGCCCCACCTCACACCGGGGGCCCCACGCTGGTCCCCCCACTCCAGCTCCCCTTCCTGCCCTTCAGGATGGCCTGTAGGCACAGCCTACCAGGCCCCTCCGGGGACCCCCAGCTCAGGCCCCATACCGCAAACGCCTGACCAGGGCCCAGTGAGCTCACTGTGTGAGGAACAGGGTCGGAAGCCGCCGGTCTAGTCACCGAAGACAGAAACCTGAGTGATTTCCCGTGTCTCATACACCTTTCTGAACAGAAACCTTCAGTCATTTTAACTGAGAAACATGGCGCGCCTGTTAGATTCACTGTGGGGCCACTGAAGACCAGGTGTTCTGACCACCGGGTTGGCCACCTACCTGTCCGAAACCAGACATCTGAAGGTTTGCAGCTTGCTAGCAAGTCCGTGTCCTAATAGCTCAGCCTCACTACTGCTGAAGAAAGAGGTGGCCACTGTTCATTGTAACTGGAAAATGGGGGACGGGGAGGGAACAGACCCCCTCCTCCAGGCAGCACCCTGAGTCAGCCTCTGGTGCGCCCCTGAGAGGGGAAGGGGGCGTGTGCACAGCAGCACGGCACTTAGGTGATGGCGCCCAGCCCCACGTGGGCTTGAGAACCGGTGTTTTTACTGCATCTCCTTAACAGGCTGCTGCTAAGTCACGTCAGTCGTGTCCAACTCTGTGTGACCCCATAGATGGCAGCCCACCAGGCTCCCCCGTCCCTGGGATTCTCCAGGCAAGAGCACTGGAGTGGGTTGCCATTTCCTTCTCCAATGCATGAAAGTGAAAAGTGAAAGTGAAGTCATTCAGTCATGTCCGACTCTTAGCACCCCATGGACAATAGCCTACCAGGCTCCTCCGTCCATGGGATTCTCCAGGCAAGAGTACTGCAGTGGGTTGCCATTGCCTTTTCCACCTTAACAGGCTATAACCTAGCAAGAAAAGGGCTGAAACTAATTCTCACCCATAAACAGTAATTCTGTTTCTTTCTAATGCTGGTCATTCTAATTTAGACTGCTGGATGACTGTTTTGTGGCTGACTGTGATAAAGAGAAAATGATTAATTAAAGCGATGTCATTGAGAACCAGGATTTTTAGCATAAGGAAGAAACAGATGTAAGATGGATGAGATTAGGTTAAAAAAAAAACCCCTGTAATTTATAAATACCTATTGTCTATAGCTACTGAAAGTCTAAGAGACAATGGACAATTCAGTAGCAATGAAAATCTGTAGCACTCAAATTATTGTCATTAAATATTATTTATCACTAGAAACAGCCAAGACTCCTTGGGAAAATGGCTGATTATAGGGCTGTGGCTGAAAATGTACCATTTGAGCTTGAAACACTTTGTTCTCCTAGAAAGCAAGAAAGCTGTCACAGAATAATACAATCATATCAGAAATGCTTAGGAGGAGAAGAGACTCCCACAGTCTGAAAAATGGGACAATTTAAGCTTCAATAGGGTTAATAACTGTAGTAAATAAAACATACCAAGTATATTAAAATCTATGATTTCATAATGAAATGTTAAAAAGCATTACAGAAACTAATTGGTCGGTCATGGAGGATGCTTGTGAACAAAACCATTCTTTTGAACACTGATGAAAGTCAAGCATTTGTTCCACCTTTCCTACATAAATTGAAGTATATGAGAGTTATACACAGTATATGAGGGTTATACATAGTATATGATAGTTATGCATAGTATATGATGATTTGGAAGAAATGATATTGCAGAATATTACTGTTTTGCAACTCAATAAATTAATGGCTCTAGCTAACACCTGGTACAATCTCAAATGACAGTTGGACATTACAAGCCACCTGACGTAAGTATTGGGTTGGCCAAAAAGTTCGTTTGGGTTTTCTATAAGATGTTACAGAAAAATATGAATGAACTTTTAACCATCCCAATACGTAGTACCACCTGTGAAGTGGGATTTCTGAAAAGTCACATCTGATTTCTGTGAAGAGTCTCTTATGTCCGGCTATATATCTGTATTCAGCTGTATATCTAGTCTCTTGTGTCTAGCTGTTTTGAAATGTGTTTTCAAAACAGACTACAAGGATGCACTCAACAAAATCTATATTTGGGGAAATTCTATAGAGCAGGTTTCCAGGTTTCTTCTACAAAGAGAGAGGAAAGAGTTTGGAAAGAGAAAGGTGATGGAAATGTAAGAGTAACTAAATATTTGATTTTAAGGAATTGCTGCTAGTGATTTTAGGTGTGGTAGTAGTATTGTGATTCTGTTCATAAAGTAAGCCCTGACATTTTTTGAACAATTGGGAAAACCTGAATATAAATAATATGCAAATATCAGTGCCAGAAGTGCTAATGGGACCAGTGAAGTTTGGTCATGCAGGAGGATGCCTTTGCTTTAGGAGACAGTGCTCCAGCATTTAGGGATGGATCATGCTTTGTATGTAACTACCTTCAGATGGCTCCAAAAGATAATTATGTTCGTGGAGATGTTTTAGTTTTTTGCGGTATAGCTGATTTACAACGTTATGCCAATCTCTGCTCTCCAGCAAAGTGACTCAGGTATATATGCATATGTTCATTCTTTTTTATATTTTTTTCCATTATGCTTTATCCCAGGAAACTGGATATAATTCCCTGTGCTATACAATAGGACCTTATTGTTTATCCATTCTATATATAATAGTTTGCATTTACCAACCTCAAACTCCCAGTCCATCCCTCTCCCTCCCCCACCCCGTCTTTGGCAACCAGTCTGATGTCTACATCTGTGAGTCTGTTTCTGTTTCATAGATAGGTTCGTTTGTGCCATATTTTAGATCCCACATGTAAGTGATATTGTTTGGTAGTTAGAATAGGAAGAAGGAGTCCAGAATTGTGGTGGCTAAAAGACAATGAAGGGAAAAGCCCACGAAAATAGAACAAAGGAAGGTTCGAGAACTGGAGTGAGGACCTCAGGTAGAACAGACAGCACTCCTGGCTAGCCCAATTTACATAGGGCAGGCCCAACAGGAGGAGAAAAAACATATAAAAAGAGGAGCCAAAATTGGGTTGGGGGGCCTCTCTTCTCTTCACGTCTTTTGGGTCAGCATGCCCTCATGCCTTGAGGATGTATTTTTCTTTACTTTCTAAATAAATCTGAGTTGTAACACGGAGCTGTAACACTGGTCCATCCGTCACTTCAAATTTTTGTTGCAATGAGATAGAACCAAGGAAATTACAGCCTCCCCTGACAATATCATGTGGTATATGTCTTTCTCTTTCTGACTGACTTCACTGGATAGTCCCTGGATCCATCCAGTTGCTGCAAGTGGCAGTGTTTCATTCTTTTTTATGACTAAGTAGTATCCCGTTGTCTATATGTACCACATCTTTTTTATTCATCTGTTGGTGGCCATTTAAGTTGTTTCCATGTTCTGGCTATTGTAAATAGTGCTGCTGTGAACATTGGTGTGCACATATCTTTTGAATTATAGTTTTGCTTGGGTATATGTCCAAGAGAGGGTTTGCTGGATCATAAGGTAACTCTATGTTTATTTTTCTGAGGAACCGCCATACTGTTTTCCAAAGCAGCTATACCAACTTACAGGGAATGTTTTAATTTTAAATAATAGTTGAGAGGAAATATTCATGTCTTTTAGAGCTGCATAATGAAATACTTCAAAATAAGATGATGTGATTTGCTTTAGGATAATTTAGGAATGTGTGAGTACATATTTGAAACAAGATAAGCTGTGAGCTGATAGTTATTGGAGCTGGGTTGGTGGGACATTGGACTTTATTGCAGTATTCTCTCCACTTGTGTATATGTATAGAATTTTCCTTAATAAAGACTATGAGTGTCTGCTAACATCCTCCACCACAAACACACTCACACACACACACTCACAGGGACTTGAGGGTCTGATGAGGGGAGAGTGACACAGAAGCCAGTAGCAGAGGGTACAGAACTTCCAGTTCAGTTCCAGTCCCAGGTGCCTGCACATCACTAGGATGGGCCTGGGAGAGGCGGCTTCTGTCCCAGGGCAGACGGGCCTCCCTCCAGGTGGAGTGGTGCAGCCTGCTCCAGAGCGTTACGCCCCAGAGAGACCCCAACAGGGTGGCTATTGCCTTTGTTCAGGTGTGTGTCCTGCTCACAGACCCTGCTGTCTGGGCAGAGACATAGGGGCAGGGTTGTCCCCACCGAGCCATTCCTCCCAGCCCAGAGTGGACATTGTGTGATGCTGTGGTAGGGTTCTGGGGAGCACTGATGAGATCTTTCTGGAGCAAGGCCCACAGTCTGGTTCTGTGAAACAGCAGATTGCAAGAGCAGAAGCCCCCAGTTCTCAGCTGTCTGATAACAAAATTAGGGCACTTGTTAGGTGCATTCATTATAGGAAATTACCCTGTTTTAAAGATTGCATCACGCAGCTCTTCAAAAGTACACAAAAACTGAGAGAGCAGGATAATGCTTCCCTGTGTCTCTGTCACCTAGCTTCAACAATTACAAGTGTGTCTTTCCATCCCGTGTAACTAGTATCACCACAGTTCTTTTTCCAGGGTATTTGAAAGCAAATCTTCAATATCATAGCATTTATTCTGTAAATAGATTATTGTTTATCACTATGTCAGGATGTTTCCCCATAAATTCCATTCCATTTCATTGTAGCACCTAAAATATAGTAATAATTTTATTTGCAACATCTAATACCTAGTCCATTTCCGATTTCTCTCACTGTCTCAGAAATGTCTTTCTGTGGCTGGTTGAGCAGTTAGCAGCCCAAGCCTCAGGTTTCACTGGTCGTTATTCCTTAAGTCTCTCTCCGAGAGCCCCCGGCCCCTCTATTTTTCCTTAGTGCCACTGTTTTCTGGAAAAAGCTTAGTCGTTTTCTATGTAGAAG